TTTACATGACATTTACAAAGTTCAACCAATAATTTTGTGCACTAAAAAAAACACAGTATAGATTATGTATAACTAACCCACAATTTACTACACTCTCTCATGTTTTATATGTCCCATATAAACTTTATATAAACAATCTTCTTATCAAAACTCTGGTGCGTGTTCAAGACTGGAATTTTGGTGCGTGTTGAAAGGAAAACTCCGATCGTGCACCAGTGAGGCCATGTAACATCCATTACTCTTCATAATCCCTTCTTCATATACTCATTCTCCATCTTCTCTGTTTTTCTTCACGACGCAATTTCTAGAGCAACAAACTGCCTCCTTCCACCAATTTTACCATATTCCAAGCATCGAGAAGTTTGACGTGAAGACGATCGGCATCACGATCCCGGCGACTTCCGACCTCGATAGGTACTTCCTTGTGTGCCCTCTTGATTCCCCACACTGAACAAGCGACGACCTGCAAAAACCGTTCAGATTAATCGTTGATGGTCTTCTCTTCGCTCTTGATGAAATTTTGAAGAAAGAAAAAAAAAAGAAATATTATAGTTTTTTGTTGTTTGCACTGTTTCGTTTAGTTAAAGAAAATCGATAATGGTGATATTTAATCAGCATGGCCTTTATTTTGGAAAGAGAATAACTATGATTGGAGAGAGAGTGGGATTATATGGAGAGAGAAAGAGATTCGTATATGTGAAAATTAAATGTCTACTAACTACTTAATTGATATAAAAATCTACATATCGTATATTCGTAAATGACTTTTATATGCAGTACATGTGTGTAAATTTCCCAACCGATAAGAAATACAAAAATTATTAACTTTTAAAACACATTTACAATTCAATGGTTATAATATGAAATGATATTAAAATTAAAATGTAGTTAATACAACAATTATCATAAATAAATCAAAATATTTATGGTAATCCAGACCTAATAATTTTTCAACTGAAATTAAATTAAAATCTTTCCAAGCCAAACAATGAAGCATAAAATTTTGACACATAGGGGAAAATATATATAGGGGATTTAATATATTTTATTATTCCATATAAATCTATTTATTATCTTATTTCTATAATGTGCATAATATCTTAGTTTTCAAATTTTGTATTTTAATTCATTTCTCTAATTTCAACAAAATATATATTCTTTTTCATTTTTTAGTATAGATTTAATTATTTTATCAACCACTCATCTAGTACACGGATAGTCAAATAAGAGAAATGAATTAAATCTATACTAAAAAATCTGACTAAAAAATGAATTAAATCTATACTAAAAAAAAAAAATGACCTTTTATGGTTTCTCAGCATGTAAACCTCCAAAAACACCTATGAATTGTAATTTGAAATTATCTTCCTTTTCTGATAATTCTGATCTGGTAATATTGATGTCACTAGTTATAGGTAATTAAATAATATGCTATTATATCTCACATTAACAAGACCTAACATTAAATATAACATACGATGCCGCAGTCAACATGTTTCTATCCCAACTGCCTGTTATTAGATTTTAATATTAAAATTTGAAAAGGAATAAAAAGGAATAAAAGTGAATAATGATATGGTGTGTTAATATAGTAATAATTGTTTTTCAAAGCATGGAGAGTGTACTTATTTCAATTTGGGCCCATTTTCTAGTAATAATCTAGGCCCAACTTTGTAAGAAATTCTGCCCAATATATAAAGGGTGATTTACATTTGTACCGTGAGTGGGATTAAATAATTGCAAATCTACACTTTTCCAAACTTATTTGCATATGTACACGGATAGTCAAATTATTTTATCAACCACTCATCTAGTACACGGATAGTCAGATTTTTAGTATAGATTTAATTATTTTTAGTATAGATTTAATTATTTGAACAAAATCCGAAGATTCAAATCTGTCATAACGGTCATTTTTTAGTTGGACTAGTGTGTGTGTGTGTGTGAGTGTTACTATTAATAAATAATGTCAGTCACGTGGTTGGGGTTATTTGAGGAGATGATTACCATAAAAGTCCTCATTATCTATGGGATCTCATTACATTGGACTACGATTCTGAGGGAAATTATTACGCATTAAAGCAGCCGCCTATCAGTTTTATTTTCCACCAAATCTTATTAACTGTGCGGCCAGTAAATTTTAAGTGGAAGTAGCATAGTTTTTAAACCCGGCCCGGTAATCGACCCGGGCAGGTCTTCGGGTCACCGGGTCACCGGTTCAACCAGGGACGAAGCCAGAAAATTTACTGAGGGGGGGCAAAAGTCATGACATAGTTTGTAAAAGATAACAAAAATGCATAAAAAAGTTACCTTATAATTACAATTGTTCACGGCGAGATGACATGGTCTGAAATCGTTGCATAATAGCTTCATTACTAATTTTATCAAAAACATCTTTTTCAACGTACGGAACCATACAAGCATTGAGCCAATCATCTTCCATTCGGTTGCGTAGTCGATTTTTTATGATCTTCATTGCAGAAAATGCTCTCTCCACACTAGCAGTAGCAACCGGCAATGTCAACGCTAAAGTAATAAGCATATAGACTAAAGGATATGTCACGTGCCTTCTAGTTTCCACCATTTTAACAGCAAGGTTTGAAATCTCATCAACCATCGAAAAGTCACTGCTCGTACGCACATCCATAATATAATTTTCAAGTTGATTATCAAGCACCACAATATCATATGGAGAAAAATCCTTAGGGTAAAGTTGGGCAAACCTTATAAGCCTTTCCTTATCGAAAGCTTCGAAAGAATCCCTAGGATTTAGGCATCCCACACAAAGAAGTAACTCGGTATTTGCCTCAGAAAAACGACTATTAAGCTCCACAAGTTGTTTATCCAAAATAGCATAAAATAATTCACAACGGAAATGAACCAAGTTTGTTTTTTCTTGACTTCTTCGTCTTGGACGACCAGGAGCTATGAAATTTTCATCCATATTTAGGACATCGACTTCGTGTATAAAACAAAATGAAGAAACTTCATTCAAAAGACCATCCCATCCATCGTCTCTCATTGACTGCAATCTTTGTTTTGATATAGAAACTAACCTCATAGCATTCTCAATATCCTGCTCTTTTCTTTGTAAAGCCAATGACAAGTCATGAGTAATTCCCAAAACATTTTTCATCAAATGCATAATGAATATAAACTCAAATGAATGCAGTGCATCTAATAACATTCGTGCTTCAACTTTTTGATCGGTGCTTGCCCCATCCTCCATAATAATTTCAAGTACTTCAGTTACGGACTGAAACATGGAAGTAAACTTAACTAGAGTACCATAATGTGAACCCCAACGAGTATCACCTGCTCGTTGCAGATTAGTTTCTTGATTCAATCCACGTCCGCTAAGAATTTCCCCTTTTCTTAGAGCTTCTACAACTTTTTCATGATGTTTGGCTCTAAGAATGTCTTGTCTCTTACAAGATCCTCCCACAACATTCATAACCTTTGATGTGATCTCAAAAAGATATTGAACTTGAAAATGATATTTTGCCACAGCTACTAAACTCAATTGAAGTTGATGAGCAAAACAATGAACGTAGAATGCACATGGATTTTCTTGCAAAATAAGGGTTTTCAAGCCTTTAAGCTCACCTTGCATATTACTCGCCCCGTCGTAGCCTTGACCACGCAATTTTGATATGCTTAAACCATGATGAGAGAATAGACGATCAATGGCACCCTTAAGTGAAGTTGCAGATGTGCTCGAAACATGTTCAATACCGAGAAACCGTTCCAATATCTTCCCCTCTTTATTTACATATCGTAAAACAACCGCCATCTCCTCTTTCACTGACACATCACGAGACTCATCAACCAGGATTGTAAAATATGCCTCCCCAATATCCTTTACTATCGCACAAGTTGTTTCAGCAGCAGCAGCAACACAAATATCTTTTTGGATAGAGGAAGACGTCAACTGACAATTTTTAGGAGCATTATGAAATGAAACTTTTCCTACAAGTTCGCTACGTTCAGCAAGCCAATGAAAAAGTTCCAAATAATTACCCCGATTAGAAGACGTGTCAGATTCATCATTACCTCGAAATGCTAAACCCTGCCTTAACAAAAAACGAACACAATCAACAGCTGCATTCAATCGAGTTCGATATTCAACTTTATCCTTGTTTTGCTTTCCACTGAATAACGCGGAAACACTCCCGGTGAGATTTTGATTTATTAGATCATTACATTTCGATTTGGCTATATTATGAGAGCTGTTATGCTTGCCAATATGTTGATCAAATTTCTCCAACTTTCTCCAATTTCTAAAACCGTCGCTAACAAATGCATCGCCCCCACTTTGATTACTCGGTGTTTTAAAAAGATAACAATACAAACAGTATGCACTATCTTTAGATATGCTGTACTCTAGCCAATCAGGATACTTTTTAAACCAATTTGCAACAAACCTTCTTTTCACATTACCCATTTCAGTTTGGGGAAAGTCGTGAAGAATAGGTTGACATGGGCCCTTTAGTAAATATGCCCGGCGCACTCTGTCCCTGTCATTAGCATCGTAACTCCATATTGGTTGTCGCAATCCCGGATCAGCTGGAAGGTTTTCGAAATCAGCTATCTTTTCTTGACTCGGGGGATTTGAAGATTCAATCATTGTAAACTTTCTCTTTAGGAATTTATCCATGCTTATTTACTTTTGAACTCCCTTTATCAAAATATAAATAAAAAAAATGGTCAGCAAGAGCAAATTCCAACATTCAAAATAATTCATATAAACATTTCAAAATAACAATTAAACAAAACTAGGGATGGGAGCCTGTGGATGGGACACAAGAACAAGAACAAATTTACAAATTGGCAAAAGGACATTTAAAAGTGGAAACTATTAACTTCAAATTTGAAGCTTTCAGTTTTAATCCCTATGAATCTCACAAGTCACAACACACAAAATAGAAAAACCAATTACATTACCTTGGGCTTTGCTTTGGGACGGCAGACGGCTGAAGCCTGAAGTGGTGAAGTGATGAATTAAGGTGATATGAATTTTTGAGGCGATAGAAATAAGCTCGATTCTGAGTTTCTGAGGAGAAGAACTTGTCCGGTTGTCCCAACCCTAAACCCTTTATTCCCAAATATCTGGTTCAAAACAGATTATATTCGTCCCTTTATCTGCCTTTCTACACAAAATAAAATAGTATTAAAATATAAAATAAAAGTTAAAAGTGTTATAGGAAATAGAAAAGGAAACTCCATTAACCCACCATCAGTTTTGCTATCCTTAATCCTAATATGCGTCCAGCGTCCGTTTTTTTTTTTTTTTTAATTAACTA